CCCTTCCCCTGTTCTTCCATCTGTCGGTCCTCCCATACCCCCCATCCCCTGTTCCTCAATCTGTCGGTCCCCCTATACCCGTCATCCCCTGTTCCTCCGTCTGTCGGTTCCCCCATACCCCTCATCCCCCGCTCCTCTATCCGTGGGTCCCCCATATATCCCCTCAAATAACTTACCTCGGAGCCGGACGCGCTCTGTTGCTGCCTGAGCCTGTCCTTGCGAGGCGTCCCCTCCTTCCTCTCTCTTCGGAGACGCTCGACCGTCGTCTGAGCCAGGTCGAGCAGCTGCTTCCCATCCTTGGTAGCCTACGCGTAATCATGACATGATAACGATGGTAAGACATGAAGTAAACATGTTGGCATTACAACCGAATCACAAAATCCCGGGCTTCCCCAATCTCTTCAGGGGTGTGTACAAATAGCAATCATGTGTGTGTTTCTTTTAACTATGTATTTGAATGTTAACCTTCAGTTTTGGGGACGCCTGCCATGTATCGCGCAGCAAGAGGTCGCCAACGCTACCAAGATTGAAGGCATAACCTCCCCAGAAAGACACGGGTAGGTATGTTGGGGCACGAACCGTGACATGACACGTACTATAGTATGGCACTACGCCGACAGAGAAGGAAGGATTTTTTTTGACAAAAACAAAAAAAAACACGACTGACTTCAGTGGCCTCTCGCTGGGCAAGCAACCGTTTGCGCCTACGGTGCAAGCGCGTGCGTGCGATACATGGTATCATCTTCCGTCCGCCCGTCTGAACTTGGTGTGGCATACCCACTAGGCAGCAAGCAGGTAAGGAATCGAGCGCGGCGCTTCCCACCGCGCCCCTAATTTAGAGTCCATCGGTTTGTGAATTCGTCCAGAGGAAACGAATGGGTTGGTTCAAATAGGAATCCGATGCGGCTTGCTCTTAATAGGTGGGTAGAAGTGCTGCGTCACCCTAAGATGGCAAGGTATGGTAGCAAGGAGGGCAAGCCGGAAGAGAGGGTGCATCCCTCCCTCCACCCTCCGTCTCCCCCCACCTCTCACCTACCCCCTCCCCTCCCCCCCCCACCCTTCGGAAGAAGGTACGAAGCGAAGACCACTTGGAGATATACGGGAAGTTGAAAGAAGGGATAGGGATGAAGACGTACTTGGACGGCCCCATGGACTACGCGAAAAAGCTGAAATTGCAATTTCGAGTAGGCGATCTGGACTTGCCAGAACGGAGGAAGAGGTATACCAGCCGTAGGAGAGAGGAAGAGGAGGATAGACACACATGTCCATGTGGCAAATCGGAGGAGAGTAGACCCCACATAGTTGGGGAGTGTGAGTTGTACAGGAAGGAAAGAGAGGATCTCGACGAGGAAATGAGACAGAGAGGATGTGACATGGACAAGTTCGGTAAATTAGACAACAGCGAAAAAACGATCGCGATAATTGGGGATAGATGGTGGGCACAAGAGGCCCTAGAGGACGGGGATAAGATGTGCAAGAAATTTTTATGGAGTTTGTGGCAGAAACGTATAGAGCTCCCAAATGTTGGTGGTGTCTCTAGTAGGTGTAGGAACGGTGCTCCGTCTCGAAAGGGACGCGTGGTCAATGGTCAAATGACTACGGCAAGCAACAAATGAGTACGCCCCCCCTCTCTCTCCCCCGACCAAAACTCCTCTCTTACTGTTGTCATACAAAAATCCCCCGTTTTTCTCGCCTACCTGTTCGTGCCTGATGACCTGAGCGTTAGAGTACATGAGAGCCACGTCGGACAGCAGCCCTTCCACAGAAGAGTACTCCCGGTCCAGGACCTGCCCACGGACGCGATAGATAGACAGAGGACTTGTTTTCAGGTTTTATGCACATCAAACTGAGAGATGCCACACGGATGCAACAAACACACCCGAGCGATCACAAGAGAAAAACATAAATGTGTCGTGTGCCCTGAATAATTCATGTATCGCGCTCAAATGAAGAAACCTGTGCCTCTCATGCCAAGAAATAAAGGCAAAAAAAAAGAAAAAAAAACCGGCAAGCGAAACCGAACGGGCAGAAAAAGAAGCGCACTTTGCTACGGTAGAGGACGTCACGAAAAAATCTGGCGTTGAAAAAACATGACAAACACACACACACGCACGCCAACGGCACAAGGATCAGGGTCCCAAGAGCCACAAGAGTACGCAGTATACCTTGTTTTCTGACCCTGATCTTTGGTGTGCGCGGCTGTCAACGGTATGGGCGTTGCACCAAACATGCTAAGCATTACACAAACAGGAGACAGGTCGGTACCACTCTTTTGAGTAGAAAGCATGTTTGCATTACATTATCCCGCTGTGTGTAAGACCGGACTTGTTCTCATTGGGTCAGCCGCCGGCTTTGAAGCAAGTAGCGCGGCCGCTGCCAAAAATTCAAACAAACACGCACACAAACACCTACATACTGGATTCGCTGTGATAAAACAGAAAGAACACACAAAACATACAAACCTTGGTCCTAACGGTGTTGAGGTCCATGATATTCTTGACCTTGGCGTGGTACTCTGGGTAGCTGTCCTCAGAGGGGGCCTCCTCGAACAGCTCGCCGAGGTCTCGCATCCCGTCGTCCGGCTTGACCCTGCCGCTCTCCCACCTAGGGTCGTTCTCCTCCCTCTCCACCCTGCGTGAGTCGGTCGTCGGTTTGAGTTGAGGTGTCGGGTCGCCGGTCGAGGAAAACCAACGAATGCGGAAAGGTCATTATCAAAGGTGCCCATGACGAACTTCATGTCCACCACGTGCACACACGTGATGAATGAACACGATGGTAGATCTAACGACAAGACCAAAACCGCGTCGAATGCCTACAGTACGTTCTCTCCCTGGTCTGCCGTACCTCGATACGAGGGGAAGCATGGGTACTGCTGTAAGAATGCTACATCCCAATCCACATCCCAATCTTCACAGACGAGATAAACCCGCGTCCTTTCCTTGTGTTGTGCCTGCTATGCTGTGCTATTTGATGCCATGCTACGTATGCCATCGTCGTCGTCGTCATCATCATCATCATCGTCTTCTGAATCGGCGATACTTTTCGCCTGGCATCAAACGTCCCTCATGATCTTCGCCTTGCTGACACCCACCATTACAGATGGGGACCATGCGAACAGCATACACGCACGAGCGCCCGTGACAAACAGCCACAAGACTAGCTGTACAAAAAAAACAAAAAAAAAAACAAGAAAGAGAGGAACCAAGGACCAAGCAGAGGCAATGGCACTCTCTCCTCCAAAACAAAAACGCACCGCTTCTGGGATATCACGTTGTACATTTCCATCAGCTGTCGGTCTAGCAAGAGCTGCTCTTGAGACGGGGGGGGCGGAAGCTCCGGGCGGGGGTGAGCCTTGACGTACGCCCTTCTCGCCTCCGTGAGGGGTCGGACGTTGCGCGGTCCCACCAGGTTGGCCAAGACTTTCCCGAAGTGTTCTGGGACTAACAGAGGGGCGCCGCAACGTTGGGGGGGGGGGGGGTACTCCTAATCCTGCATGCCGAAATCGTTAGACCATGGATCTCGCATTGGGGGGAGGGGGGAGGGATCAATCTTGTCAGCGTTGGAAAAAGGGGGGGGGGGGGGGGGGAAAAAAAAAAATAATCCCCCCCAAGGGGTTCCAACCAAAAACCAAAAACCCCCCTTTAAAACCCCAAAAAAAAAGGGGGGGGGAAACCCTTTGGGACCCCAAAAAACCCCCCCCTTTTGGGAAAACCCCCCCCAATGACAATTGGGGGTTTTCCTTTTTTGGGGGGGGGGTCTTTTTTTTCTCTGGGGGAAGTGTTGCTCCTTCCCCTTTTTTTTCCCTGGGGGTGAAAGAACCCCCCCGGGAACCCCCCCCCCCAAGTGGGGGCCCGGCAAAAAACGGGGGGCGCCCTTAAAAAAACCAAAAAGTCCGGGGGGCCCCCCTTTTTTTCGGGGGGTGGGGAAACCAAAAAAAAAAAACCCCCCTCAAAAGAGAAAAAAAAAAAAAAA